TAAGCTTGTTCTCTAAATCTGTGAGTCTGTTTCTGTTTCATAAATAAGTTCATTTGTATCTTTTTTGATTCGCATATAAGTGATATCATATGATATTTCTCTTTCTCTGACTTCCTTCACTCAGTATGACAATCTCTAGGTCCATCCATGTTGTTGCAAATGGCATTATTTCATTCTCTTTAAAGGCTGAGTAATACTCCATTGTATATATGTACCATATCTTCTTTATCCATTCTTCTGTCAATGGGCATTTAGGTTGCTTCCATGTCTTGGCTATTGTCAACAGTGCTGCAGTGAATACTGGGGTGCATGTATCCTTTTGGACCATGTCTTTCTCCGGGTACGTGCCCAGGAGTGGGATTGCAGAATCATATGGTAGATCAATTTTTAGTTTCTTAAGGAACCTCCATACTGTTTTCCATAGTGGCTGCACTAATTTACATTCCTACCAACAGTGTAGGAGGGTTCCCTTCTCTCCACACCCTCTCCAGCATTTGTTGTTTGTGGATTTTTTGATGATAGCTGTTCTGACTGGTGTGAGGTGATATCTCATTATAGTTTTGATTTGCATTTCTCTAATAATTAGTGACATTGAACATCTTTTCATGTGCCTCTTCATCTGTATGTCTTCTTTGGAGAAATGTCTACTTAGATCTTCTGCCCATTTTTTGATGGGGTTGTTTGTTTTGATATTAAGCCGCATGAGCTGTTTGTAAATTTGGGAAACTAATCCCTTGTCGGTGACATCATTTGCAAATATTTTCTCCCATTCTGTGGGTTGTCTTTTCATTTTGTTTATGGTTTCCTTTGCTGTGCAAAAGCTTTTGAGTATAATTAGATCCCATTTATTTTTGTTTTTATTTCCATTACTCTGGGAGATGGATCAAAAAAGATATTGCTGCGATTTATGCCAGAGAGTGTTCTGCCTATGTTTTCCTCTAAGAGTTTTACAGCATCTGGTCTCAAATTTAGGTCTTTAATCCATTTTTAGTTTATGTCTGTGTACAGTGTTATAGAGTGTTCTAATTTCATGTGTTTACATGTAGCTGTCCAGTCTTCCCAGCACCATTTATTGAAGAGATTGTCTTTCCTCCATTGTATAGTCTTGCCTCCTTTGTCGTAGATTAATTGACCACAGGTGCGTGGGTTTATTTCTGGGCTTTCTGTCCTGTTCCATTGATCTATATTTCTGTTTCTGTGCCAGTACCATACTGTTTTTATGCCTATAGCTTTGTAGTATAGTCCTAAGTCAGGGAGCCTGATATTTCTTTCTCACGATTGCCTTGGCTATTCGGGGTCTTTTGTGTCTCCATACAAATTTTAAGATTTTTTGTTCTAGTTCTGTGAAATATGCCATTGGTGATTTGATAGGGATGGCATTGAATCTGTAGATTGCCTTGGGTAGTATAGTCATTTTGATAGTATTGATTCTTCCAATCCAAGAACACGGTATATCTCTCCATCTGTTTGTGTTGTCTTTGATTTCTTTCATCAGCATCTTATAGTTTTCGGAGTACAGGTCTTTTGTCTCCGTAGGTAGGCTTATTCCTAGGTATTTTATTCTTTTTGATGCAGTGGTAAATGGGATTATTTCTTGAATTTCTCTTCCTGATCTTTCATTATTAGTGTGTAGAAATGCAACAGATTTCTGTGTATTAATCTGGTAACCTGCAACTTTACCAGATTCATTGATGAGCTCTAGTAGTTTTCTGGTAGTGTCTTTAGGATTTTCTATGTATAGTATCATGTCATCTGCAAACAGTGACAGTTTTACCTCCTCTTTTCCGATTTGGATTCCTTTTATTTCTTTTTCTTCTCTGATTGCTGTAGCTTGGACTCCCAAAACTGTGTTGAATAAAAGTGGCAAGAGTGGACATCCTTTCTTGTTCCTGGTCTTAGAGGAAATGCTTTTAGCTTTTCACCGGTGAGTATGATGTTAGCTGTAGGTTTGTCGTATGTGGCTTTATTATGTTGAGGTATGTTCCCTCTAAGCCCACTTTCTGGAGAGTTTTATCATAAGTGGGTGTTGAATTTCGTTAAAAGCTTTTTCTGCATCTATTGAGATGATCATATGGTTTTTATTCTTCAGTTTGTTGATGTGGTGTTATCACATTGATCGGTTTGCTGATATTGAAAAATCCTTGCATCCCTGGGATAAATCCCACTTGATCATGGTGTATGATCCTTTTAATGTACTGTTGGACTCAGATTGCTAGTATTTTGTTGAGGTGGTTTGTTTGTTTGTTTGTTTTCTTTTGCTGCACTGGGTCTTCATTGCTGCGTGCGAGCTTTCTCTAGTTGCGGCAAGCAGTGGCTTCTCTTTGTTGCGGAGCATGGGCTGTAGGCTGGTGGGCTTCAGTATTTGTGGCTTGTGGGCTCCAGGGTGCAGGCTCAGTAGTTGTGGCACATGGGCTTATTTGCTCCACAGCATGTGGGATCTCCCCGGACCAGGGCTCGAACCCATGTCCCCTGCGTTGGCAGGTGGATTCTTAACCACTGCGCCACCATGGAAGTTTCTGTTGAGGATTTTTATGTCTGTTTTCATCAATGATATTGGCCTGTAATTTTCTCTTTTTTTTGTGGTATCTTTGTCTGGTTTTGGTATCAGGGTGATAGTGGCCTCACAGAATGAGTTTGGGAGTTTTCCTTCCTCTGCAGTTTTGTGAAACAGTTTCAAAAGGACAGGTGTTAGCTCTTCTCTAAATGTTTGATAGAATTCATCTGTGAAGCCATTGGGTCCTAGACTTTTGTTTGTTGGGGGTTCTTTAATCACAGTTTCAATTTCAGTACTTGTGATGGGTCTGTTCATATTTTCTGTTTCTTCCTGGTTCAGTCTTGGGAGATTGTATCTTTCTAAGAATTTGTACATTTCCTCCAGGTTGTCTGTTTTATTGGCTACAGTTGCTTGTAGTAGTCCTTTTCTTTCTTTTTTAGGCTGCACTGGGTCTTAGTTGCAACATGCGGGATCTTCGTTGTGGCATGTTTAGTTGCGGCATGCGGGCTTCTCTGTTGCAACATGCATGCGGGATCTAGTTCCCTCACCAGGGATCGAACCCGGGCCCCCTGCATTGGGAACATGGAGTCTTACTGGACCACCAGGGAAGTCCCTGTTAGTAGTCTCTTAAGATCCTTTGTATTTCTGTGGTGTCGGTTGTTACTTCTCCTTTTTATTTTTAATTTTATTGATTTGAGTCCTCTCTCTTTTCTTCTTGATGAGTCTGGCTAAAGGTTTATCGATTTTGTTTATCTTTTCAAAGGACCAGCTTTTAGTTTCATATCGTTTTCTTCGTCTCAGTTTCATTTATTTCTGCTCTGATCTTTATGATTTCTTTCCTTCTCCTAACTGTAGGTTTTATTTGTTCTTTTTCTAGTTGCTTTAGGTGTAAGGTTAGGTTGTTTATTTGAGATTTTTCTTGTTTCTTGAGGTAGGATTGTATTGCTATAAACTTCCCTCTTAGAACTGCTTTTGCTGCATCCCTTAGGTTTTGGATCATTGTGCTTTCATTTTCATTTTTCTCTAGGTATTTTTTGATTTCCTGTTTGATTTCTTCAGTGATCCATTGGTCGTCTAGTAGCATATTGTGTAGCCTCCATGTGTTTGTGTTTTTTACAGTTTTTTTCTTGTAGTTTATTGCTAATCTCATAGCATTGTGGTCAGAAAAGATACTTGATATGATTTCACTGTTCTTAAATTTACCGAGGCTTACTTTGTGGCCCAGCATGTGGTCAGTCCTGGAGAATGTTCCATGTGCACTTGAGAAGAATGTATATTCTGCTGCTTTTGGATGGAATGCTCTATAAATATCAATTAAGTCCATCTGGTCTAATGTGTCATTTAAGGCCTGTGTTTCTTTATTGATTTTCTGTCTGGATGATCTGGCCATTGATGAAAGTGGGGTGTTCAAGTCCCCCACTATTGTGTTACTGTCGATTTCTCCCTTTATGATTGTTAGTATTTGCCTTATATATTGAGGTGCTCCTATGTTGGGTGCATATATATTTACAATTGTTATGTATTCTTCTTGGACTGGCCCCTTGGTCATTATGTAGCATCCTTCCTTCTTTGTCTCTTATAACAGCCTTTATTTTAAAGTCTGTTTCGTCTCATATGAGTACTGCTACTCCCCCTTGCTTTTGATTTCTATTTGCATGCAATACCTTCTTCCAACCCTGCTTCACCCACCATCTTCTCACACCTGAATTTTTGCAGGAGCCCCCTAGCTGGCCCCCATTCAGGTCTGCTCACCTTAGGTGCCAGAGTCATCTTTGAAAATGCTAATCTGAACATTCATGAGCCTCAACCCCTCAGGGACCAAATTGAAGATGTGATCAGGCCCCTGCCCAACTCAGCAGCATCCTCGGTGCCTTGGCCCCTCTCCCACAGTTCCCCAGCCCACGGCACTTACGTTTCTTCCATCCCACTGTGCCTTTGCTCCACAGAGCCTTCATACGTGCTCTTCCCCTCACTCCTTGTCTAGACTCCTTGTCTATCTATTCCTCCTAGGTTCTCGACTGAAATGTCACTTCCTGACCCCCAAGCCTTGGTCAGGCCCTGGTAGTCACTCTGGTACCCTGCCTTCTCCCTGGAAGTCCGGAGCACTGTGGTAATTACTTAGGTATTAGGTAATTACGCTAAATGACCCAGTAGACTGTAAGCTCCCTGAGGACAAGGACCACGGCTGACTTGTTCGTTGCTGCATCTGCGGCCCCTAGCCAGTGCCTGGTACATGGTGTTGATAAACGTGTAGATAGTTATCATGAACTTTACTTAGAGATAACACAAAAGATGTTCTTTAAAACGTTAGTGGTGGCTTTTGGGGTATAAAATTATGCATGACTTATTTTGTTCTTTCTACTTTTCTGTGCTTTCTGTTTTGTTGTCAGCGAGCAAGGCAATAACTGTCGGTTTGTCAAAAGACATCAGTGCTGGGCCCCAAGCTGAGTCCCCTGTGCAGGATGCACCAGGGTTCACCTCTGCGCTCCTGCCCTTGTCCCCACAGGCCTGAAGAGCGATGCGACAGGCATGATGGAGGTCGAGTCCTCCTACTCGGACTTCATCTCCTGTGACCGGACGGGCCGCCGGAACGCAGTCCCTGACATCCAGGGAGACTCCGAGGCCGTAAGCGTACGGAAGCTGGCTGGCGACATGGGCGAGCTAGCCCTCGAGGGCGCAGGTCAGAACCCACGGGTACTCTCGGGTTCAAGCACTCCTGGTGGGAGACCCTCTTCTGGGCTCCGGGACTGACTTCTTAAGTCCTAGCCTGCCCCCTCTTTCTCAGAGAAGAAACTGCATTTAAATCAGACCCCAGGCCCACGGTCAGTGGCAGAGGGCAGTCACTCCCTAGGCTAGAGGGTGCCAGCGTCTCTGGCCGTGAGGACCCTCTGGCCAGGCACCCCGGTGCTTCCCTTTCCCCTCAGCCTCCCCGTCCACCCACAGGCCCTGTCACTTCTCCTCCAGAGTCCCTCCCCAGTCCCTCTGCTTCTCTCTGTCCCCGCAGCCACCACCTGGCTCACACCACTCCCAGCACCGCAGCGGCCTCTGCCCGGGCCTCCCTGATCCATCCCCGCCCAGACCCTCCTGCTGGACAGCTGCCAGCAGGGTTCATTTAAATCCCCTGTCCCATCGTGCGTCTGACCCTGCGTCCGCCCCCCTTCATCTCACGGTTTCCTTTGCTAGAACATCCCTCACCAGTCCTAGCTCCCCCAGGGACCCCACCCTCCCTCCCCGTGCCGTCCCGTCCCGTCAGCAGTCTGTCAGCCCTCCCTTGTCCTGCGGCCTGAACTCCTCACCAGGCGTGGGAGCCTCCCCGGGTCTCACCCTGCTTCCCTCCAGCCTCTGCTCCCATCTTTCTCCCCTGCGCCTCTGGTCCAGCCTGAGGAAGGGACTTCTGTTTCCTGAAAGTCCCTAATGAGCCTTGCCGCACTCTCCCTCTGTGTGGTCCTGCCTGCCCTCCCCTTGCCAGGCTGGCTTTTCCTCTTTCTTAGAGGCCCAGACCGCTCTGCCGAGAAGCCGTCATTGCCCTCTCTGGCAGGGGAGGCGCCTCTTCCCTTGGCCGCCTCCACAGCCCCCTGTGCACAGGGCCTCTCCTCTGGGATCCGCATCCTGGGCCCTCGGTGCCTGGTGGCGTTTGGCACCCGGCAGAGGTGCCTAGTCAATGGCTGTTCACTGACCAGCACGCCCAGCTGCCACGCCAGGCCTGCTGCCAGGCCATCTGCGTCTGCTCTGGTGAACGGTTTTCTATCTCCTTCAACTCAGTGTAGTCACTCATCCACCTGCCCAGGCCCTCTAATGCCTGCTCCCACCCCTGTCCGATTCGAGATCCCTGAGGTACCTGGTGTCCTGGCAGCTGTCTGCCAGGGTGACGGACAGTTAAAAGGGGGACCTGAGGAAGGAGTAGCGCTCACCGCAAGGCAGTGAGGTGCTCCTGGCGCAGTGCAGGCCAGAGTGACTGGCCGAGGAACCTTCCAGTAGGTCCTGCAATGAGCAGCTTCCACTGGCACATCTGCGAGCCGTGCTCAGTCCAGCGGACTCACCGAGGGAGTGGGAGTACGGGGAATACAGGTTCTGATCCTGCAGGCCCTGGAACTTCTATTTGCCTAAAGCTCCCGGGAAACTGAGGCGGAGCCCAGGCAGGGGAGGAGGGGCCACAGCCTTGGCCTGTCCTGAGGCCTGGCGGCCAAGGCCTCTCCAAGTCCTGTGTGTTAACGCTCCCCAAGCCCTTTGTGTGCGAACCTTTGTCTTCTCTGATGTTTCCTTACGCGGGGAGCACAAACGTTTCCTTACTTGGCCGAATAATGAAACGTAACCAACCAGCAGGGCATGGAGGAATATGAACGCACTGCTCGGCAGCACGTGACCGGGAAACTTTCCGAATCCTGCTCTGAAACTGCCCCGAGGGAGTCCCAGGGCTGCTGGTTGGAGAGGAAAATGCTTGGGGACCTCTCTGTGGGCCAGAAGAGAGCTGGGACCTGCACAGAGGAAGCCTTGCCCCTGGCTGAGCTGTCCCATGTGCCAGGTGACCACAGAGGGGCAGGGATGTCATCATCCTCACTTCATAGATCAGGAAGCAGAGGCTTGGAGAGATTAAATAAATTGCCTGAGGTCCCACAGCAAGGAAATGGCAGAGCGGCAGTTACTGCGGAATTTAACGAAAATATTCTTGCTCGCCAGGGCGGGAGGCTTCGGACCAAATAGGGCATCACAGACTGGGAAATCTGCCTGAAGTGCAGTCTAATTTGTCAGGTTTCCAGTGGGCCAGGAGGACCCTCTGGGACCCAGCCTTTGCTACAGGCCCTGCCCCATCATAGGAGGTGACCTGAGGCACAGGTGTCCAAGTTCTCCCTGCACCCCTCACTACCACTAACCCCACCTCTGAAGCCAGCTGCCAGGGCAGAATGAGGCGGTGTCAGTGATGGGTCTTTACAAACCCTAGAGAGCGCTCCTTTAGGCGGCAGCCTTCTAGTTAGTGGAAGGGACACTGCTCCCTCCACTGTTTGGCTCTCAGGCAACTCAGTTCACCTCTCTGAGCCTTGTTTTTCTCATCCAAGTCGTATCATGACCCTCATCACACCTCCAGGCTGCATGGATGACTGCATGGAAAGTACTTGCCAGTCCGCAGCCTCAGGATCTGGGCGCAGGGTAGTTTCTCCCTAGTCACGTGAAGGGCTTAGCCTAAGGATGCAAAGACAGAGGCCAGAGAGGGAGATGGGGGTGGTCTGGTGGGGACACAGCACAGTGAAACAGCGACGGGCTCCACCCCAGCCCCTGCTGCAGGCCACCCCTGGTGCTCCCCTGGGCTGGCATCTTCTGATGCCCTTCTCTGTCTTACAAGAACTACTGCATGCTGAGCACGTGCTGGGACTCTAGACACCCCACACAAATATCCTGACCCTCCCCAGCTACAAGCATCCATCCATGATCCTGGCCTTTTCTTCCCTTTAATTATACTAGTAACAGCACATGTACATTTTCTTTGTAGAAATTAAAATGTTACAGACTAGGCTAGAGTTCCCTTTAGCTACTACCCCCCCCCCCCCCGTCCTGTCCTGCTCCCCAGGGTTTATCCACTGTTACTGCTGTGGCTGGGCCCCTCTGGACCTCTTTCTATGCATTACATTTGTGTATATGCTCCTTTCTCTCTCCTCTGCAGAAGGACAGGCGGAGGTGGGCACCCCAGACAAGGAAGGTAGCAACCAGCCCAAGAGCAGCGATGGGACCACCTCATCTTGAACATGACCTTGCCCGAGGAGGCTGGGAGAGAGACGCGCCGTGGACGGAAAGCCCTGGCACTGGCCCAGCAGCCTTTCCTCTGAGCAATGTGTTCCAGGCAAGCCAGGCCAGACTGAAAGGCAGCCCCAGAGGCTCCCGTGGCCCCTACCCTGGGAAGGCCCTCTGCCCACACCCCCAGGCTCCACGCTCCCACCACCTCCTCACTTGCCCGGGTACACTTTCAAGACACTGTAACCACAGGATGTTATTTATTCAGCGGGTGCTGGGACTCAGGGGCTGGGTCCTGCCCCCTGGATGAACAGCCGGGCAGGGACCGCGTTCCAGCCCTGCCCCCTCTTCTCCAACCCAGCCAGCCTGCCGTGTCAGGACCGTCTTACCCCTTTTTTAAGAAGCACTTTTAAACTTTTTAGAAACTTTAAACCTTTTCTCAGCAGAGAGAGAGGGAGCTGACAATTTACCTTTTATTTTGGAAGCCATTGTAAGTTAAACTCTTTGACCATCTATGCAGCTCTGAGGTTCCCTCATGGAGCTTCACAGATCCATTTTTAGCGAAGGGATCTTGTGCTCAAAACTCTGATTAACTGTTTGCCCTTCCTACCAAGATAAGTGACACCTAGGACCCAGGAAATAAATGCTGATGATTTGTGTGATAGGTTTAAGATGATTATTTCTCCGTTAAACAGCAAAAGTAGGGGCTGGGCCTTGTTTCCCCAAGGCCGTGATTAGCTGGGACCCATCGCTTCCACGGAATGAAGCACCTGAGAAGATGCCGGGGTACCGCAGAGGCCGGCACCACACCTCAGGCCAGTATCTGAAGAATCATCTTCCACCTCACCCTCTCTCACCCCAATTCACGGCTTTGGGAACCCAAAAGGAAGGTTTCCCCCCTTAGGACCTAGAGTAGGAGGGGGTTAAGAGTTCAGGGAGCATTTAAGCAGATAAGCCTTCAAGAGAAGCCTGGTTTCTTCTGGACGGAGAGCAAGCTTTGGGCCCCGCTTTGCCCCCCCTTCCCATTCACAGAGCCCACCGGGCTCTCGGGACCCTGCTGCTGGGCAGGCTGCCTGCGCCTGGGGGCCCCAGGGGCTCCTTCCGTTCTCCACAAACCCAAGTTGGCCCGCTCCGACCGCAGCACCACACACCACATGCTGCACAACCCCAGCTGTTGGTTTCTTTATTAAGCACCAGATTTTCAGCACACGTTACCATAGGAGGGAGGGATTCAGATTCAACCAGCCACAGGCCCTGATCCTGGCCCGGGCACACAATCAGAGGAGAGACACGGCCAGGCGGAGGTATATGTGTGTACAGAAACAGGCAGGTGGGCTTCACGAGCATCAGTAGCCGACTCTGGAAATCATAGTCTGCCTGGAAGGAGTAAAGGGAGTTGTGAGGACTCCATCCACAGGGTAAGGACTCTGAGAGGTGGCCACGATGTCTTCAGGGACACTGCCCTGCTTGCCAAGAGAAGCAGAAAGGTGAGGCAAGTTGTAGTACCCAGGACATAAAAAAAATAAAAATCAGAACATCAGAGCCAGAGAGGAACCCCTTTCTACAGATGGGGAGACTGAGGCTTGGAGCAAGGAAAGGCTCTGTCAAGGCCACACAGGAAGGAAGGAAGCAGAACCTAGCTGCACCCTTGGCTCAACTCCCTGCCCTTGGCTTTGGGCAGCCCTGGAGATGCCCTAAGTTGCCAAGACCTTGGGAGTGGGCTTGAGAAAGGCTCCTCCTCAGACCAGCCTCAAGACAGCATTATGCAGGAAGCGAGCCTGTGCAGTGAGGGAGGACCACCAGCCAGGAAGTCATCACGCATCCCTGGTGCTGCCCAGGAGAGGAAGGGAGGGCATCTTGCTAGAAGTCCCCGGAAAGACAGGTGGGAGCCAGGGCAGGGCACCAGCCCAGCAGCTGAGTCAGAAACATACCTGCAGAGGCCAAAGGTGGCATCCCATAGGCTTTATAGAGCAGATCAAGAAGCTCCCTCTTCTCATCTTCTGGGAGGAAACTGGACTTTGCCGCATTGATGTTCTGGAAGGGCCAGCACGGCGGACAGTGAAACCAGAGCGCATAGGAGGGGGTCCTTAGCAATCTAGTGACAGTCCATTAAACACGGGCAATTCATTTAAGCTCAGAGCGGGGAGGCCCTGTCCAGGGTCACGCGGCAGCAACTGCCAGAGCAGAGACTGTGAGGTTCTGTGTTCTTAAAGTGGCAGGACGTGATACACAGATGTAGGAAGGAGGTTGGAGAAACCTTTGAGAGACAGGGTGGGATGTGTAGTGCCAGAGAGACAGTCCTGCAGGGACAGACTTGGGATATCAGAACCACTGAAATCAAGGGCTCATCCTGGGGTCTCTGAGTGGCCTGAAAAGTGTGTGCAAAATGTATAGCTGAGCACACCTTTCTGGGGAGATGGTTGACCGCTTTCAGAGTCTTTCAAGGCACTTGACCCAAGCAGAGGATAAAAAACCCAGTCCTAGGTCAGGATCTCAGCCGAAGATGTCTTCTCGGCGGAAGGCATCGAACTCCAGGTCGGCCTTGGCCTGGCCTGTTGCAGCAGACTCACCCCTCATTCTCCAGGGCTTCCGAGCCCTGGACAGGACCTGCAGGCCTCACACACTCCCAGGGCCCAGAGTCAAGGCACACAGCCACTCACCAGTCTCTTAAACTCCTCTTCAGTGAAGCCCATGTCCTGTTTGGTCATCTGGTAATCAGTGTCCAGGGTGGACTTGAAGATGAGTGGGTCATCCGTGTTGAGGGAATAATTAGCCTGGTCATTTTTGAACCTGGACAATGCAGGGGCGTGGGGGGGAGGGGGAGAAGCGCCTTCTGTTACGGCTGTGTAAACAGTCTCTGCACGTGGACATCCACCCTCCTTTGAACCGCATGGCACCCTTGGACAGGCCTGGAGGGTTCTCGTTGTACAGAGGAACTCGGGTGACTTGTCCAAGGCCACATTACTAGCAACTCAAGACTTAAAGCCATCCAGCCAGGCCAGAGCCAGGCAAAGGCAGGAGAGGGGCCGGCTTGGCGAGGCCAGAAAAGCAACAGCCCGCTCTAGCTACCCACCCCTCTGGCCCTCCCCTTCACAGCTGCACTCTGCGAGAGAGTTGTCTGCCCCCTTCACCAACCGTCCTCAGCCCCCCCTGGGAGATCTGACTTTTCAGATGCGCCATGGGAACTGTTCTTAGCATAATCCCTGACCACCATCTTATTAAATCCAGTGGACTTTTCCTAGCTCTAACCTCACCTGACTTGTGGAGCAGAATTTTGTACTGTTGACCTTTTCCCTAGCTTTCTTGGACGCCGCACTTCTGGCTTTCCTCTGCCTGTGCCTTCAGTGTCACTGTCCTGGATTCTCTCCTAGGCCCTCTTTTTTTTTTTTTTTTTTTTTTTTAAACTCAAACAGAAAATCACAAAAATTATAATCATCCTCATCAGTTCACTCAGTCCCTTGTAATTTTTTTTTACCTTGATCTTTTGTTAGCACTTTCATGAATTCATCGGTTTTCCATTAGAGTTCTGAAAATGCTTATGCATTCAGTTCAGCAGTATAGTCAGTTACCAGAAACCTGTACTTGTCAGAGTCTTTTCCATGAATTCCTTGAAGATGAAACCCTTTTATAGGAACATTTTTGCAAAAGCATCATCAGCAGGACAGTCACCAGAATCCTAGGCCCTCGTGCTCCACTGTCTGCTGAGGCCATCACTTCTCCTTCAACCACCGTATCTCTAGGTGACTCTGAGTCTTTCTCCAGCCCACAGGCTGGATGCCCACATGCCTCCAAGAGCCTCCACTTGGGTGTCCTGTAGGTACTGCACACTCCACACTCCTAAAGCAGCTCAGGCCCGCCTCGCAATCAGAGTGTGAGCGAGCCCAAGCTCCTCTCCTCGTAAGCTTGGCGGACAGACCATCAGTGCTGGCCTGAATATGGGCACCCCGAGCTCTTAGTGAGCTTCTGGGTCGGCTTCTCCCTCCCGAGGCCTTGCCCAGGGCTCAGTCCCAGGGCAACCCGAAGAAGGGCCAAAGCTTCTTGGTTAAGCCTAAGGGGCAGCATCGGGGTGGGGTGGGGGGGGGACGGGATAGGCTCTCCTGGGGAAAGCTTCAGGATGTGCTGGGGGAGTGCCCAGAGGGGCCAGGAGCGGAGCCCACGTGAGCAAGAGAGGCTCATCTTCCTAATTCCTAGGAGGTGGAATCTGGAGTGTGGAAGTTTCCCTTAGGGTAGCAGGGCATTCTGCTATAGCTGGATGAGCTACAGGGCCCCCAGCTGTGCTATCCAATAGCTGGGTGGCCTCATAATCAAGTTACACCACATCCGGACTTTGGATTCCTCACTTGTAAGACGGCGACAATAGCGCCCGCTTCCCAAGCATTTGAAGAGCTTTCACACCCAGGAGACCCCGCAGGGACCAGCGCCCAGTCCCTGCATCCCCTGCCCACCCTTGGCTTTCCTAGTACAAAACTGAACGGAGCCCAGGGGACCCGGCCTCACCGAACGACTGCATGCTCCGTGCCTGGCTTCCAGGTGCCGGTGAGGTAGCTGGACCAGGGGCAGACCTGGAAGAGCAGGTGGGTGACTGGCACGAAGCCCCCAGGGCCACGCTGACCCCCGTCCCCAGGCCAGCTGGCGCCACCTCCTCCGGCGCCGTTCTCGCCCCGATCACAGCGGCCCCCCCGCAGCCGAGTCCCAGGAGCCGTCAGTCCTGCCTTTCTCCCCCCACCCAGCAGCTCCAAGGCCCGCGGCCCACGCTGCCCGCGGCTGCTGGACCCTCCGCGCTCTCCACCGCTCCCCTGACCTCCCCCTCCCCAGCCCTTCACCTCGAAGTGCATGTTTTCCTGCCGCAGCCTGTTGTAGAGGGCCGGGTCCTCCAGAGTGTGGTAGCCGTGCCCCAGCCTCTCGGTCTTGAGCACGTCCACGGCCTGTTGACAAGCAGCGTGGAGCCCAGCGTGGGCCGCGGGGCAAGCGAGGAGAAGGGCCCCACCGCCTGCCCAGCCACTCACCTCTCTCACCACCTCGGCCGAGCCCACCTCCCCGGCGTGGACCGTGCGGTGGACGCCGCTCTTCACGGCCTCCTGTAAGGGCGAGGGCTCGGTCAGGGGCGGCCTGGGGCTCGGCCCCGCAGGCCCTGCCTTCACTACACTCTGGGGCTGAGTCAACCTGCCTGGCTCCCAGACAGGGAGGTCGGGTGGGCTTCGTTTTTGTAATCATTTAAGTGGTAGCCCTCCTTTATTAGACAGTTATTACGAGTCAGACACTGTAGGAAATGGTTTGGATACCTTACGTCATGTTCACAACTGCTCTGATACCTATCTTACAGGGAGCGGGGAGGGACTGAAACTCAGGAGAATTAGGTATCACGACCAAGGTCAGACCGCTAGGAAGAGATTCCAGAGCCCCTGCTCTCGACCCCATGCTTCACCCCTTCCACGGGAAGCAGGGCATGAGGCTTCGAGACGTCTGCTCCAACCCAGTCAGTCACCCCAGCAGATGAAACAGGCCCAGAGAAGAGACAGTCTCGCCCAAGGTCACACAGCGAATCATTAGGCCGAAAGGCTCCAGCACAGGACCCTCCAGCACCAAGTGGGGTTTTTTCTTTCATACCAGATTCCCAAACTCTAGAGGTCCTAGACCCAGTCACACACACTTGGGAGCCCAGGAGGCCTCGTGATCCCCCAGAAGTCGGTGTGCCTTCCTGCTACTGGATTAGAGACCAGCTCCCCATGGGGCTCCCCCAGAGCCAGCCTCTCCTCTGCCTCCGTCCCCCAGGACCCACCGCGTAGGCCTGCACGTGTTCGGGGAAGAGGCTGCTGCCTCGGATGGTCTCATCTCCGGCCAGGTCGACGGCCACCACGGTCTGCCGCCGGTACTTCTTACACAGCTCCACCACCTCGGGGGACCAGCCTGTGGGCGAGATGCCCGCCGGGCCTCTGGCAGCAGCACGGAGGAGAAGGACCCTCCCCCCCAAGGCCAGCACAAGGCAGAGGGCCCAGCGTCCCATCTTCAAGGTCTGACCCCGCGGCCTCTCCTCGCAGAGGGGGGCCGTGTGCTGTGGCACACGGTCGCAGCGAGGCTTTGCCGAGGCCGCACGTGTGAGACGCCGAGGTCAGGGCCTGGGCTCAGTAAACGACAAATAGCAATTCTCTCTCTTGATCCCCACACCCACCCTCAACTTAGCAGATGAGATGGAGGTCCGCACAGTTTAACATTTAAACCTAAAACAGCTCCCACTAGTGTTACTAAACACATTGCTAACGTTCGTCATTGTAAAGTGTTTTAAAAAGAATGACCAACCACAGGCTTTGGAACCAGATGGCCCTGTGTTCTGCTCCAGGCTTTGTGCCTTCCTGATTGAGCCTCTCTCTACCTCAGTTTCCTCATCTGCTAAACGGGGATAAACGATGGTGGTCCTGTCTCCTAGACCCCTGTGAGGATTAGAGAAAATACCCCAAGCCACTCTGCACAGGGAGGCCCTGCAGGTTGACACTAACCCCTCGCCGTGGGCTCACTACTCCTTAGAGCAGAGAATGGGGTAACTACGATCACCTCCTGTGACAAGGCACGTCTGAGATCCAGAGAGGTGATGTGACCTGGAGAGAGTCACACAGCGGGGCTCTGCCTTGGAAGCACAAGCCCTGGAGATGTGACCAGTGTCAGTCACAGGGAGACCCCTCAGGCCCTGGCGCTCAGACCTAGTCCCAGGTTCCACAGCCCTGACAGGGGGTGGGGGGCCTGGCCCACAGGGTCTCGAGGGAGGACCGCGGCCTGACGGGAACCAGGCTTAGGCTTTTCTCTGTCGTTCAGCCTCCCTTGATTTTAAGCCTCCCGCAGGTCACATGGCTCCCAGGCTCAGCCTCCCTGGGGAGAAAATTCTGTTGCAGGAAGTTCTGAGCTTGCCCAGGAGGAAGACCCGAGGTCCAACTGATGGGCTCAAGAGAGACCATGGGGACCGGTATGGCCCCTGTGCCCGGCCAGGAGGTTGTGGTGGCATCAGATGGGCAGCCAGGGACGGGGCCAAGGTCACACTCACTGGGCTGGTGGCGCATGCAGCACAGGATGGACCGCACCTTCACCCCGAAGTCTCGCTCTCCCTCTTGCAGGCCCTGGTCCACTAGACACACCACCTCATCCGGGGTGAGGTCCCCTCTGTGTGCAGAGAAGAGTAGGGGTGAGCCTGAGACAAAGACAGACCTAAAGGACAGCCCTGGGACTGGGACAGAGGAGGGAGGGGAGGCGGGGGAGTAAAGAGGGGAAGGAAAGGAGGATAGAAAGAGGAGGAAGAGGGGTCGTCCAGGAGAAGCCCTCAGCCCCACTAACCTACTGCCTCTGAGGAAAGGACGAGGGAGATAGCCCCAAGCCCTAGCGCACCCCCTTCCAGCTTCCTTGGAACTGCCTGGACGCTTCCAGACCTGCGAAGACTGTCCCAGTTCGGGGGGTTGTCAAACACAGCCCTCCTCCCACCCAAGATGGAGGGCACTGCTAAGCTAAGCTCACCTGTTGTGATTCCCACTTGTCCACAAGTATCAGAGTCATGGCTAGAAGGGAGCAAGGTGGTTGAGTGGTACCGCTTAGACATCCCTGGGGTCCAGGCAGAGGGGCAGGAGTGGGCCAAACCCACTTTGGTTACAGGGTTAGGACAGGACCCCTAAGAGTCACTGGATAAGCTGTGGGCCAGTTCAGGGAGCCAGACCAAAGTCTTGCTTGGGCCACGGCCTCCCAGGCTGCCCCTCGCGGTCTTGGGTCAGGCCACCCTGCCACAGCACCGGCACAGCCCTCCAGATGGTCACTCACTCAGCCTGGTTCCAGGGGATCGGCTCCACTTTGAAGTTGGCCAGCAGGTGTGGGCTGTAGCGCACCTCCACGTACACCACGCCCTCCTTGGCCTTCATCTCCACAAACTCGTAGGCAGTCCTTTTGATGGCCTCCCGGCAGCCCCTGGGAAGGGAAGAGTGGCTGGGGACAGACTGCCCCAAGTCCCTTGGGAGCTCCAGGAATAACAAAGCTGTCCCCTGCCCATAGCAGGTCAAACCCAGGTGTGGCCCCCCCATCTCTCGTCACCCAGCCCAAAGCTCCGGGCATCTGCTGGAGAAAATCCTAGAAGCACAGCACGTCCTGTCAGCTCTGCTTCCAAACTCGATGCCCGTTCTCGGCCCGCTCCGCCCTGGTTCTAACCACCTCACCTCTCTAACTGGCCTCCTGGTCTCCACACTTGCCCCTGTAGAGCAGCTAGCTCAATCTTTTAAAAATGGAAATCAAAGAGGGAATTCCCTGGCAGTTCAGTGGTTAGGACTTCACACTCTCACTGCTCAGGGCCCGGGTTCAATCCTTGGTCGGGGCACTAAGATCCCACGAGCTGTGCAGCGTGGGCAAAAAAAACAAGAGGAGATCAACATCACTCCTCCACTCTGAACCCTAATGGCCTCCCACCTCGTAGAGTAAGTCTCAACCCCACCTCCCAACCCCCCACAAGGCCTGCGTAATCTGGGCCCTTGCCAGCCTCCCGCTCCTTCCATGACTCCTCCAGGGTCTTCTTTCTGTCCAGCGAACAGCCAAGCTTGTTCCCAGGTCAGGGCCTTCGTGTTTGCAGCACCCCAGCCTGCAGGCTCTTCACCCAGATCACCCTATGCTCCCTCCTCCCTCCATTCAGAGCCTGCCTCCAGCCTCACCTCCTCAGGGAAGCCTTCCCTGACCACCTTATTTTATTTATTTACTTATTTACTTATTTATTTATTTATTTTTTGCGGTACGCGGCCCTCTCACTGTTGTGGCCTCTCCTGTTGCGGAGCACAGGCTCCGGACGCACAGGCTCAGCGGCCATGGTCACGGGCCCAGCCGCTCCACGCCATGTGGGATCTTCCTGGACCGGGGCACGAACCCGTGTCCCCTGCATCGGCAGGCAGACTCTCAACCACTGCGCCACCAGGGAAGCCCTGACCACCTTATTTTAAAACATCTCCTCACCCTTTTTCACCTCTTCCCCTGGGCTTCAGTTTTCTCCATGGCCCTTATCACCACTTGACATCACAGATCACATGGTTTCTTTATTAGCTGGCTTTCACCTCCCCAACTAGAACGTAGTCTCCATGAGACAAGGACCCCTCCCTCTGTCTCATCGGCTACGATCCCTCAGCCAAGGACAGAGCCTAGGACATTGCAGCCACTGAAATATTTGTTGAGTGATAGGTGTAGGCCAGCAGGGAGGAGAAACAGGAGAAAAGGACACACGCAGGCAACAAAAAGCAAAAATAGACAAGGGGGGCCATCTTGAATTGCAGTGTCTGGGGCAGCCGTTTCGCAAGAGGAAGTCTGGTCTGAAGCGCCGGAGGTGAGGCGTCTGCGTGTGGCACCCTATGAGCAAGTGAAACTAGACAAAGCACTGAGGAAAGAAAAAAGCTGCCCCCGCCTCCCCAGGAGACCCTCCAAGACCAGCAGGTGACTTGTGGCCAGCATTTTGGACAGCACAGGTCTGGAGAGCAGGAGAGGAATAGGAAGACTACCCAGGGCATTGAAACTGAAATGAATGCATGGCAGCAACTTTAAACTATTCACTGACTGCTGGCAGCAATACAAAGTTCAATCTGATAGGAGGACAAGTCAACCAAGGAATTACCAGCTCTGAGAGGTTTTGAGACTGTGCTCCTGGTGTTTCGTGAACGCGGCTGGGGCAGCAGAGGGAGCCGAGTGGATGAAAGGCTCTTGCTGCTCCAGCCAGGAGTCAGGACTCTGCCTCTGAGGTGGGAGAGCCAACTTCAGAACACTCGTCAAGAAGAGACCTCCCAGCCCCACATAATATCAAACGGCGAAAATCTCCCAGAGATCTCCATCTCAACACCAGCACCCAGCTTCGCTCAACGACCAGCAAGCTACAGTGCTGGACAACCTATGCCAACCATATAGCAAAACAGGAACACAACCCCACCCACTAGCAGAGAGGCTGCCTAAAATCATAATAAGTCCACAGACACCCCAAAACACACCACCAGACGTGGACCTGCCCACTAGAGAGACAAGATCTAGCCTCATACACCACAACACAGCCACTAGTCCCCTCCACCAGGAAGCCTACACAACCCACTGAACCAACCTTAGCCACTGGAGACAGACATCAAAAACAACGGGAGCTACGAACTTGCAGCCTGCAAAAAGGTGAACCCAATCACAGTAAGATAAGCAAAATGAGAAGACAGAAAAACACACAGCAGATGAAGGAGCAGGATAAAAACCCACCAGACCTAACAAATGAAGAGGAAATAGGCAGTCTACCTGAAAAAGAGTTCAGAATAATGATAGTAAAGATGATCCAAAATCTTGGAAATAGAATGGACAAAATGCAAGAAGCAGTTAACAAGGACCTAGAAGAAATAAAGATGAAACAGACAATGATGAACAACACAATAAATGAAATGAAAAATACTCTAGATGGGATCAATAGCAGAATAAATGAGGCAGAAGAACGGATAAGTGACCTGGAAGATAAAATAGTGGAAATAACTACTGCAGAGCAGAATAAAGAAAAAAGAATGAAAAGAACTGAGGACAGTCTCAGAGACCTCTGGGACAACATTAAACGCACCAACATTCGAATTATAGGGGTTCCAGAAGAAGAAGAGAAAAAGAAAGGGACTGAGAAAATATTTGAAGAGATTATAGTTGAAAACTTCCCTAATATGGGAAAGGAAATCGTTAATCAAGTCCAGGAAGCACAGAGAGTCCCATACAGGATAAATTCAAGGAGAAATACGCCAAGACACATATTAATCAAACTGTCAAAAACTAAATACAAAGAAAGCATATTAAAAGCAGCAAGGGAAAAACAACAAATAACACACAAGGGAATCCCCATAAGGTTAACAGCTGATCTCTCAGCAGAAACTCTACAAGCCAGAAGGGAGTGGCAGGACATACTGAAAGTGATGAAGGAGAAAAACCTGCAACCAAGATTACTCTACCCAGCAAGGATCTCATTCAGATTTGATGGAGAAATTAAAACCTTTACAGACAAGCAAAAGCTGAGAGAGTTCAGCACCACCAAACCAGCTTTACAACAAATGCTAAAGGAACTTCTCTAGACAAAAACACAAGAGAAGGAAAAGTCCTATAATAACGAACCCAAAACAATTTAGAAAATGGGAATAGGAACATACATATCGATAATTACCTTAAATGTAAATGGACTAAATGCTCCCACCAAAAGACACAGATTGGCTGAATGGATACAAAAACAAGACCCATATATATGCTGTCTACAAGAGACCCACTTCAGACCTAGAGACACATACAGACTGAAAGTAAGGGGATGGAAAAAGATATTCCATGCAAATGGAAACCAAAAGAAAGCTGGAGTAGCAATTCTCATATCAGACAAAATAGACTTTAAAATAAGGACTATCAGAAGAGACAAAGAAGGACACTACATAATGATTAAGGGATCGATCCAAGAAGAAGATATAACAATTGTAAATATTTATGCACCCAACATAGGAGCACCTCAATACATAAGGCAAAAACTAGCAGCCATAAAAGGGGAAATCGACAGTAACACATTCATAGTAGGGGACTTCAACACCCCACTTTCACCAATGGACAGATCATCCAAAATGAAAATAAATAAGGAAACACAAGCTTTAAATGATACATTAAACAGGATGGACTTAATTGATATTTATAGGACACTCCATCCAAAAACAACAGAATACACATTTTTCTCAAGTGCTCATGGAACATTCTCCAGGATAGATCATATCTTGGGTCACAAATCAAGCCTTGGTAAATTTAAGAAAATTGAAATTGTATCAAGTATCTTTTCCGACCACAACGCCATGAGACTAGATATCAATTATAGGAAAAGATCTGTAAAAAATACAAACACATGGAGGCTAAACAATACACTACTTAATAACGAAGTGATCACTGAAGAAATCAAAGAGGAAATTAAAAAATACCTAGAAACAAATGACAATGGAGATACAACGACCCAAAACCTATGGGATGCAGCAAAAGCAGTTCTAAGAGGGAAGTTTATAGCAATACAAGCCCACCTTAAGAAGCAGGAAACATCTCGAATAAACAACCTAACCTTGCACCTCAAGCAATTAGAGAAAGAAGAACAAAAAAACCCCAAAGTTAGCAGAAGGAAAGAAATCATAAAAATCAGATCAGAAATAAATGAAAAAGAAATGAAGGAAACAATAGCAAAGATCAATAAAACTAAAAGCTGGTTCTTTGAGAACATAAACAAAATTGATAAACCATTAGCCAGACTCATCAAGAAAATAAAGGAGAAGACTCAAACCAATAGAATCAGAAATGAAAAAGGAGAAGTAACAACTGACACTGCAGAAATACAAAAAATCATGAGGGATTACTACAAGCAACTCTATGCCAATAAAATGGACAATCTGGAAGAAATGGACAAATTCTTAGAAATGCACAAACTGCCAAGACTGAATCAGGAAGAAATAGAAAATATGAACAGACCAATCACAAACACTGAAATTGAAACTGTGATTAAAAATCTTCCAACAAACAAAAGCCCAGGACCAGATGGCTTCACAGGCGAATTCTATCAAACATTTAGAGAAGAGCTAACACCTATTCTTCTCAAACTCTTCCAAAATATAGCAGAGGGAGGAACACTCCCAAACTCATTCTACGAGGCCACCATCACCTTGATACCAAAACCAGACAAGGATGTCACAAAGAAAGAAAACTACAGGCCAATATCACTGATGAACATAGATGCAAAAATCCTCAACAAAATACTAGCAAACAGAATCCAACAGCACATTAAAAGGATCATACACCATGATCAAGTGGGGTTTATTCCAGGAATGCAAGGATTCTTCAATATACGCAAATCTATCAATGTGATTAACCATATTAACAAATTGAAGGAGAAAAACCATATGATCATCTCAATAGATGCAGAGAAAGCTTTTGACAAAATTCAACACCCATTTATGATAAAAACCCTGCAGAAAGTAGGTGTAGAGGGAACTTTCCTCAATATAATAAAGGCCGTATATGACAAGCCCACAGCCAACATCATCCTCAATGGCGAAAAACTGAAAGCATTTCCACTAAGGTCAGGAACAAGACAAGGTTGCCCACTCTCACCACTCTTATTCAACATAGTTTTGGAAGTTTTAGCCACAGCAATCAGAGAAGAAAAGGAAATAAAAGGAATCCAAATCGGAAAAGAAGAAGTAAAGCTGTCACTGTTTGCAGATGACATGATACTATACATAGAGAATCCTAAAGATGCTACCAGAAAACTACTAGAGCTAATCAATGAATTTGGTAAAGTAGCAGGATACAAAATTAATGCACAGAAATCTCTGGCATTCCTATATACTAACGATGAAAAATCTGAAAGTGAAATCAAGAAAACACTCCCATTTACCATTGCAACAAAAAGAATAAAATATCTAGGAATAAACCTACCTAAGGAGACAAAAGACCTGTATGCAGAAAATTATAAGACACTGATGAAAGAAATTAAAGATGATACAAACAGATGGAGAGATATACCATGTTCTTGGATTGGAAGAATCAACATTGTGAAAATGACTCTACTCCCCAAAGCAATCTATAGATTCAATGCAATCCCTATCAAACTACCACTGGCATTTTTCACAGAACTAGAACAAAAAATTTCACAATTTGTATGGAAACACAAAAGACCCCGAATAGCCAAAGCAATCTTGAGAACAAAAAATGGAGCTGGAGGAATCAGGCTGCCTGACTTCAGACTATACTACAAAGCTACAGTAATCAAGACAGTATGGTACTGGCACAAAAACAGAAAGATAGATCAATGGAATAGGATAGAAAGCCCAGAGATAAACCCATGCACATATGGTCACCTTATCTTTGATAAAGGTGGCAGGAATATACAGTGGAGAAAGGACAGCCCCTTCAATAAGTGGTGCTGGGAAAACTGGACAGGTACATGTAAAAGTATGAGATTAGATCACTCCCTAACACCATACACAAAAATAAGCTCAAAATGGATTAAAGACCTAAATGTAAGGCCAGAAACTATCAAACTCTTAGAGGAAAACATAGGCAGAACACTCTATGACATAAATCACAGCAAGATCCTTCTTGACCCATCTCCTAGAGTAATGGAGATAAAAACAAAAATAAACAAATGGGACCTAATGAAACTTCAAAGCTTTTGCACAGCAAAGGAAACCATAAACAAGACCAAAAGACAGCCCTCAGAATGGGAGAAAATATTTGCAAATGAATCAACTGACAAAGGATTAATCTCTAAAATTTACAGGCAGCTCATGCAGCTCAATAACAAAAAAATAAACAACCCAATCCAAAAATGGGCAGAAGACCTAAATAGACATTTCTCCAAAGAAGATATACAGACTGCCAACAAACACATGAAAGAATGCTCAACATCATTAATCATTAGAGAAATGCAAATCAAAACTACAATGAGATATCATCTCACACCAGTCAGAATGGCCATCATCAAAAAATCTAGAAACAATAAATGCTGGAGAGGGTGTGGAGAAAAGGGAACACTCTTGCACTGCTGGTGGGAATGTGAATTGGTTCAGCCACTATGGAGAACAGTATGGAGGTTCCTTAAAAAACTACAAATAGAACTACCATATGACCCAGCAATCCCACTACTAGGTATATACCCTGAGGAAACCAGAATTCAGAAAGAGTCATGTACCAAAATGTTCATTGCAGCTCTATTTACAATAGCCCGGAGATGGAAACAACCTAAGTGCCCGTCGTCGGATGAATGGATAAAGAAGATGTGGCACATATATACAATGGAATATTACTCAGCCATAAAAAGAAACGAAATTGAGCTATTTGTAATGAGGTGGATAGATCTAGAGTCTGTCATACAGAGTGAAGTAAGTCAGAAAGAGAAGGACAAATACCGTATGCTAACACATATATATGGAATTTAAGAAAAAAAAAATGTTATGAAGAACCTAGGGGTAAAACAGGAATAAAGACAGAGACCTACTGGAGAACAGACTTGAGGATATGGGGAGGGGGAAGGGTGAGGTGTGTTAGGGCGAGAGAGAGACATGGACATATATATACTAACAAACGTAAGGTAGATAGCCAGTGGGAAGCAGCCGCATGGCACAGGGAAACCGGCTCGGTTCTTTGTGGCTGTCTGGAGGGGTGGGATAGGGAGGGTGGGAGGGAGGGAGACAAAGAGGGAAGAGATATGGGAACATATATATATGTATAACTGACTCACTCTGTTATAAAGCAGAAACTAACACACCATTGTAAAGCAATTATACCCCAATAAAGATGTTAAAAAAAATAAAAAAAATAAAAAAAATAAAAAAATAGACAAGGGGGACTGCACCAAGCTAAAGGGCTTCTACACAGCAAAGGAAACCATCAACAGAGTGACAGGCAACCTACTAATGGGAGAAAATATTTGCAAACCACGCATCTGATAAGGGGCTAACACCCAAAATGTGGAAGGAACTCCTACGATTCAGTAGCAAAACAAACAACAAAAACTGATAAAAAGTAGGCAAAGGACCTGAATAGACATTTCTCAAAAGACATACAAATGGCCAACAGGCCCATGAAATGGTGCCTGACATCACTAATCACCAAGGAAATGCAAATCAAAAGCGGCTTAAGCCTTCAGGAAGCTGGTCCTCTTCTGTCTTGTGGCCGAGAGACAGGAGCTACCTGGGCAGTGGCGTGGGAGACGCTCCTCATCCGGGGGAGAGGCAGCATGTATGCCAGACCATCTGCTGACCCAGGCCAAGGATGGGGGCAGTCGATGCCTTCCAGGCAGAGCCCAGAAGCTTCCAGAATGCAGCCAGCAGCCTTGGCATACATCTTCCTTCCCCAGGACTCCTCATTCCTGTCCTGCCACTTACCCAGCCAAAGGCCTCCACCGGCCTCACACACCTTCCTCACTGGTCCTCCAACAACCCATCCTCCAGACCATTCCTCAGGTCCAGCCCTCTGGACAATATCACAGCCTTTCTCTCCCAAGGCCCAGTCCACACTTTCTCCTCCAGGCAGCCTTCCCTGACTCCCCCAGCCCCCTCTACATCTTCCCCCTCCTGAGCTCTGGCAGCACTGACTGCCAAGGCCCCATTCTCGCCTGCCTTGGGAAACTCTGCCTCGTACCAGGAGGCTCAAGGAGACAGCAGGACGAGAATCTGGGCTTCACCCCTTGCCAACTGTGTGGTCCTGGGCAAGTTCCTTCACTTTCCTGAGCCTTCATTTCCTCCTCTGCAAATGAGGAGTGTGTCTAGCTCACAGGACTGTGGACAGCTACAAAGAGAATAGTTCTATGAACTGTACACACATTATATTCTTCTATATCTAAGATATTCTGCTATCAAAAAAATGGAAGGAATGAAAAGTAACATAAAAACAGCAGTGCCTGGCTATCGATAAAGGTAGCAATTGTCCTCCTAGTAAGAGGAGGCTTGCTGAGGACAGTGCTGTGTCCATTCCAAACCCCAGCCCTAGGAGGTAGAGAGGGTCATAAGCCCCACTGTCTAGATAAGGGAACTGAGGCCCAGAGAGGGCAAATTTGCCCAGTGTCGAAGTTATTTTTTGAAAGAATCTGATACTAGGATCTATGTTCTTAACCCCCACATTCTGTTACTTTTCTATAGAAGTTGAAGGAGGTTCAGCCCATCATACCCATTTTCCAGAAGGGAAAACCGAGGCCCAAAAGCATGGAGAGATTCGCAGGAGTGCACACAACGGTGAGAGGCAGAGCAGGGTTATACAGCGCCTTCTCCCACCCCATAGGCTGAGGTGTGCAGGCAGCCCGATGTGGGCACAGGGACCGACGCTGCCCAGGGTTCGGGGCGGGTGGGAAGACTTACGCGATGGCGGGCATGTAGTAGGCGAACTTGGCCAGGAAGCCCGGGAGGCTGAGCGGCTTGTCCATGCCGATGATGTCCTGCAGCTCCTCTGGTGTGTTGGCAGGGAGGGTGATGCCCCGCTTCCTGGGGACAAAACAATGAGGGCAATGGACAACCCTGGGCAGGACCTTACCAACTCCTTGCAGGCGGTGGGGGGGCATCTGACCCCTCTCATTGGACAGATGGGAAAACTGAGGCCCAGGGCATATAGAACCAGGACCTGAATCCTTCTAGGATCTTCTGTCCTCAAGGCCATGACCAGCCAGCAAATCTCAAGGGGGTCAGCTGGGGTTAAAGTCCATTTAAAGTACACATGAACACACACACACACCCCCTGGTGCCTGGGGACAGGGAAGGTGCCAGGGCAAGCCCTTGGTAGAGCCGGCTGGTCATGTGCCAGGTCAGGGGTTATCAGGGTAAGAACTGCAGCACACAGTGCCTGGGACAGGAGCAGGTGCCAGACTTCCCTCCACCACCCTCCCTCTGGCCGGCACACCAGGGAGGCTGGCCTGGCCCACTGTGCTGGGAGAGCGGAGCCAGCCCAGCCATCCACCCGGCCAGCACTCTCCCCTCCCTGACCACAGCCTCCCACACACGGCTGGGCCACGGCAACCACTCGGTAAGGGCTGGCAGAGAACAGCCCTTCTGGTCTGGGGCCTCCTCCTCTCCACTGGCATCTCCACCTCCCCCCAGCCAGGACCAGCGGGGTGCAAGGCTGGGCTGCCTTCCCCGCTTCTCATGCTCCAGCCTCCTCTGCTCCTCCTGGCTCTGCCCCAACTCGTGGGTCACCCCTGGCCTCAGTTTTCCCACCTTTAAGATAAAAGGGACAGGCCAAGGACACCAGACAGTCAAGAAATGCTTCTGCCATGAGGGACAAAAGACCGAAGGCACTCTACAGAAACAGAGAAATGCAGAGAACAGAAAACTTAAAAACCCAAAATGAATAGCCTCAAAGAGAGGAGTCGATGTTGCATCCTTGAAACAAGAGCATTCCTTTTTAAAACGAGGACATTCAGAAAGTAAGAAAGAGCTCTTGGAGATTTGGAAGAATATGGCCGCGCCCATCAGGCTGTAATAAAAGGAATGGAAAATAAAGTTGAGAAAATCCTCCAGCAGGTAGAACAAAAGACAAGATAAAAAATAGGAGCAAATGGGGGCTTCCCTGGTGGTGCAGTGGTTGAGAGTCCGCCTGCCGATGCAGGGGACACGGGTTCGTGCCCCGGTCTGGGAGGATCCCACGTGCCGCGGAGCGGCTGGGCCCGTGAGCCATGGCCGCTGAGCCTGCACGTCCGGAGCCTGTGCTCCGCAACGGGAGAGGTCACAACAGTGAGAGTTCCACGTACCGCAAAAAAATACATAAATAAAGGAGCAAATGATTAAGAAAATTATGTGATTAAACCAGGAGGTTCAGCCTCCAGTTATCCACAAAGCAAGAACAGAAGATAGAAGGGAGGACATTGCCAAAGAAATGGAAATTCGACCCAAGTGTTGAAGTCCTTTAATAGCTTCTGTTATTAAAACATTAAAATGTTTCCCTGCATAAATACCTGTTCCCTAAACCTCCTAAATATGCCCTCTTCCCCTTCTGCATGACCCCAGGACCTATGAGTGACCAGTGGGTATCACCAGGGGCCCACCCTGTTGCCCAGTTTGCCAGTCAGACTCACATCCCTGTGAGACGTCCCCGGGGAAGATGAAGCCCCGGGTGCAGTCCTAGCACCGAGGTCAGGTGCTCAGCGCCCTTGGGCCTTCCCCTGCTGGTCAGTCTGCCCCAAGGTCACCCTCATGAGGCCATCCCCAGTCACCGTAGCCTCTGCAGAGCCCGTACCAGTTGTTAGATGCTATGTTTTGGATATCATTCTGGGAGCTGGTGGGTGGAAGGCAGAGGAGCTGTGGCTAAGGCTCCGACCCCCATATTCCCAAACACAATGGCCACATTTGCCCCAGGCCCCCTGGACCGATCCAGAGATCCAGAGCTTTCAGTCCTCTCCCTCTGCATATCAGCATCTGAGGGCCCACGACGTGCTGGGCACTGGACGGATAGCCGTGACCAAGGCAGACCTGTGTGCCTGATCGTCCCCTTTCCCCTCCCCCCAAACCCCTCCCCCTCCCAGGCTCCACATTTCCTAATACGGCTCCTCCATCCATCCAGCTGCCTGAACCAGAGACAGGGGGCTCCCCCAGACTCCATCTCCCTTACCCATCAATAGCCGGTCCCCAAGTCCTAATTATTTCTTCTTAAATATTTCTCCAACTAGTCTCTTCTCCAACGTCTCTCCCTCAACAGCCACCCAAGAGAGATCTTTTTACCCCACAGATAGAGTGGCCTGGGAAGGCCTTTCGGAGGAGGTGACATTTAAGCAGGCGGAGAGATCCAGGCAGGCGGGGTCAGAGCCCTGCTGAGAGCCCCAGGAAGAAACACCGAGGGAATTCCAGGGCAGGGCGGCTACAGTTCAGAGCAGGCTCGGGGGTAGGTGAGCCAGCTGCCAAGTGGGGGCTTCGTAGGAGCTGGGACCTTATCCTGAAAGCACCGGGAAGCCACTGAAGGATTCTAACCAGGGGACTGACATGAAAAGATGTACTTTTTAAAGAGCTCCTCCTGGCTGTGGTGTGGGGAACAGACAGAGGGAAACCAGGGCAGAAGCCAGAGCTGCCACAGTGGTCCCCTAGGAGCCGATCCAGCACCTCACAGGGGGCTGGGCCTCCGGAAGCTACTCACACTGAGCTGTAAAGATCCTGTCTGGGACCCCAGGTTGAGGCAGGAAGGAGTTGTTCCTAGGTCCCCTGCCACCCACAGCCACTAACCGCAGCCAAGGCTCCCTCCACCCAGGGCCAAGCTCAGCTCTTAGATGGCCCTGCTTCCCCACAGCCATGGCCATGCCCTGGGTGCTGCTCAGTCCTCTGCCCTCCATGCTGGGTGACACACTGAGAGCCCAGTAAGAAGGATGAACATGGACTTTGGAGTTCAAAGTCCATCCTCCTCCTGTAGGTACCAGATCACCCTGGGCAGGAGCTGTCCCCTTAAGGACCTCCATATCCTTGTCAGTAAAACACAGATGGTACTTTGTTTTCAAGGTACAGGGTGGAACAAATGAGACTATTTGTGTGTCCAGGGAAAGATGGCAGACTCTGAAGCCCAATGGCCTAGGTTTAAATCCCAGCTCTTATTTAAAGGCTGTGCGGGACTCCCCTAGTGGCGCAACGGTTGAGAATCCGCCTGCCGATGCAGGGGACACGGGTTTGACTCCTGGTCTGGGAAGATCCCACGTGCCGCGGAGCAACTAAGCCCGTGTGCCACAACTACTGAGCCTGCGCTCCAGAGCCCGCATGCCACAACTACTGAGCCCACGTGCCACAACTACTGAGCCCACATGCCTAGAGCCCATGCTCCACAACAAGAGAAGCCACTGAAATGAGAAGCCCACACACCGCAACGAAGAGTTGCCCCAGCTCGACGCAACTAGAGAAAGCCCGCGCGCAGCAACGAAGACCCAAGGCAGCCAAAAATAAATAAATAAAATTTAAAATTTTTTTAAAAAATAAAGGCTGTGTGACCTTGAGCAAATTACTCAAACTCTCTGTTTACGAGATCTGGCATGTTTGAGAAGAGAGGTTAACACAGGCTTTGTAGGACTTCAAGGAACGTGTGTAGGCTTTGGCTTCGACCCTGAGCACAGCAGGAGGGTTTGAGAAAGGAAGTGATCTGATCACTCTATGTTTTAAGATGACTGTTCTGACTACAGTACTGTGGGGACAGTAGATGGGGGAGGCCAGGGTGGACACCTGGAGACTGGTCAGGAGGCCACTGCAATAGTCCAATGGCTCAGACTAGGATGGTGACAGGGAGGGGACAGTGGCCAGATTCAGAATGTACTTTGGAGAAGAGCTGGCAGGGTCAGGAAGGAGATTGAGAAAGAAGTTAAGGCCCCGGAGAGAAGATGGAATAAGAAGAAACAGGTGAGGGAATTCCCTGGTGGTCAAGTGGTTAGGACTCTGTGCTCTCACTGCCGAGGGCCGGGGTTCGAGCCCTGGTCAGGGAACTAGGGTCCCACAAGCTGTGCGGTGCAGACCAAAAAAAAGGAGAAGAAAGAGAAACAGGTGGGGGCTTCCCTGGTGGCGCAGTGGTTAAGAATCCGCCTGCCAATGAAGGAGACACGGGTTCGAGCCCTGGTCTGGGAAGATCCCACGTGCCGCGGAGCAGCTAAGCCCGTGCACCACAACTACTGAGCCTGTGCTCTAGAGCCCGCGAGACAACTAATGAGCCCACGTGCCACTACTGAAGCCCGCACGCCTAGAGCCCGTGCTCGGCAACAAGAGAAGCCACCGCAACGAGAAGCCCACGCACCGCAACGAAGAGTAGCCCCCGCTCGCTGCAACTAGAGAAAGCCCGCACGCAGCAACGAAGACCCAACACAGCCCAAAATAAATGAATAGATTAAATAAATAAATTTAAAAAAAGAGAAACAGGTGAGAACACAGTCAACTGAGGCCCAAGTCACAGGGGCAGAAAAGAGGCTACTGGATTTGGCCAGGGTGACGGAGGGGCCACAGGCCAGATGCTGCCCTCCTTCCCCCTCTCAGCCCCAGCTCACTCACAGCTGGGAGTCCTCCAGCGTGTTCTGTCCATATCCCAGTCTGACCAACTCCCCGGTCCCCCTGCCTGCTGACCTCAAGATCAAACTCCAGCTGGATCAAACCCACACCCACCTCTCCAGGGCCCATGGAGGTGCCTAGACACTTCCTGAGATGCCAAGTGGTTGTGGGAAACAGAAAATCCGACCAGTTGCCCCACAAGGGCTTTTCCTTTTCCTCCTCCCTCTACCCAGCCCTGGACACTCTCACCTTCCTCCTCCGCTAATGAGCGCTATGTGACGCTTTAATGAGCACCCGCGATTAGATCCCATCTTGGTGCCCGGCTAACCCACCCTAATGGCCTCATTAAGGTCCCTGCATCAATAAGTGGCACTTGACATGGGCAAAGGACAGGCAGAGATAATCCAAGGGGCTTAACCCCAGTTAGTCAGAGCCATATGTTCCAATTAATAATATTATCGTTAAGTGACATTTTTGGAGCATGTAGCCTGCTCGCCCTCAGCTAAGTGTTTTTTGTGCAATACTTTACCTAAACCTCCAGCTGGCAGGGGCAGTGGTCAGGGGTACGGACCCGGGGTCACACCTGTGTTTACGAGATAACTTACTTCCCCTATCCTGGCTCAGTTCCCTCGTCGGTAAGACAGGGTCAATAATATACCTATCTCACAAGTTGTCACCAGATTCCAGTAAGTCAATCCAGGTACAACATTTAAAGCAGTGCTTGCCATGCAGTAAAGGCTAATATACCTACATGATAAGTTAAATAAAAATTAAATCAACAATAGCTTCCTAGGGCAGAAAAAGTACAACAAGATGGAGAAGCGTGTTCTTGCCAGAACCCTCTCAGGGAATTGGAAGAGACACTTTTTTTTGCGGTACGCGGGCCTCTCACTGTTGTGGCCTCTCCCATTGCGGAGCACAGGCTCCAGACGCGCAGGCTCAGCAGCCATGGCTCACGGGCCCAGCCGCTCGGCAGCATGTGGGATCTTCCCGGACCAGGGCACGAACCCGCGTCCCCTGCATCGGCAGGGGGGCTCTCAACCACTGCGCCACCAGGGAAGCCCGCAGGAGACACTTTTAAGCGTCGGGGCAAACGCCCAAGGAGCATCAGTTCTCTCCTAAGGAGTGGGTGTCTGGATAAGTGAGGGGGTTCTGGCTTATGAAACAGAGGGTTCAAATGTGGATCCAGAGCTGAACTGCTCAAAGCAGTGAGGAGAGGCAGAGACCTCCCAGCTCCAAACAAAATGAGCACAGAACAAACTCATGAGGAACAGGGAGAGGTAGGGGGCGGGAGGGACCCCATCTCCCAGGTCAGCTCTGGAGGAAGGTCCTGTTCTTACTTTCAACCTACAGAGGCTGAGGCCACAGCAAGGAAACAGTGGGTCCAGATTTGAATCCAGATCCACTGGCCCTTGAAGTCCTTGCTTTTAAGTGCTAGACCCCAGAGAGGGGATATCATGAGCCCTTGAAATGTGGGGAGGGAGGGCGGACCTCCCTCACTGGGGGGTGCTGGGGACCCTTCGGCACGTTCTCCTTTGGAAGATGCAGAGATTTGAGCCCAGAGAGGGGGCACCACTTCTCCGCAGCTCCCAACAGGTTACCATCGTGAGTAGGAAAATCTTGGAGGGTCAGATGGCCCAGGGTCAACTCTTGCCTCTACTTGTTCTGTGGCCTTGGGCAACTGCCTTCATTTCTCTGAGGCTGCTCTCTTCTCAGTGACATGGGGATGGCAATGGTCTCCTCCTCCAAGCGTGGAGGGATTAAATTCGCTGACTCAGGAGAAGGCTCAGCCCAGCCCAGCCCTGGGAGATGCTCAGCAAATGGTAGCAGTATCCTATGCGGGTGCATCACCTGCCACAGGCTCTCGGCTGAGTCAAAAAAAAACAGTGACTGGTTCAGCCCTGGGAACTGCCTCCACCTGTGTGTGTGTGTGTGTGTGTGTGTGTGTGTGTGTGGTGTGTGTGGTGTGTGTTGGTGTGTGTGTGTGTGTGGTGTGTGTGTGTGTGTGTCTCTCTCTCTCACTCTCTTTTGGTGTCTCTCTGTGTCCGTATCTATAAAGTGGGGTAAGCGTTCCCTGGCTCACCTGGCAGCAGGAAGATAAAAGTCAGAGGCACAGAAGGCAGAAGACTTGGGCTGTGGGTCTCTGTGCCCCACAGACCACCTTTTTCTAGGCTGGGGGCTGGCTTGATTCCACAGGGATACAGGAGGAAGCAGCAACCCTGGAATTCTCCAGAGGCGTCTGGGTCAAACTTCCTAGGGAAGAAGGCCCCTTATCTGTGGACTCACCTGCCATAATATAAGATGGTTTCAGGCTTGATGGCTCCATCCAGATGGACGTGCAGTTCTACCTGCAAGGGCGCAGAGGAAAAGGAGAGAAAAACAAACACCCATGAATGCCTGAAGGACCTTACAGAGGCTCACTGTTAACACTAACTGAGATAACCATTAGCCACCACATACACTTCACTAAACTGTTTACACGCATTATCCTGTTTCATCCTTGTCTGTGGGGTGGGTTTAATTATCATCTCTGCCTCTTTCACAGTGGAGAACACTGAGGTTCAGAGAGGTTAAGTAACTTGTCCAAGATCACACAGCTCTAAGTGATGGAAACAGGAACCCAACCCAGTGCCTTTGTTCTTAACCACAGCTGCTAAGTGGCAGAACCGGAATTGTAACCCAAGCCCAATTCTGAAGCTGGTGCTCTTTAACACGAGGCCAGCCATGGGCCCGGAGGAGCGACAGAGCCTCAGCCACCATGCAGGCAGATCCCACTCTCAGCCAACTCACCAAACAAGATCCAACTCTAACAAAAAGGATTGGCCACAGACCTTCTGGACTAGTGAATACCTACAACATATTTCAAAAATCAGTCTCCATTTTCAAAAGCATGTGTTACTGAAAATGAAACACAGCTTATCAGGAATCAATATTTGACAATAAGATCCTTCCAGGACTCTAGAAAGGGCACCAGATACTTGGCCATCTTGGTGACCCTCTCCTACATGCTCAGCCCCATGGACAATACTCCATACACAAGGCCAAGAGTTTAAGGACAAGGACTTTGGGGAGAGCTCATCAGGCTGGATGCCCAGCTCTGCCTCTTCTCTGGCTGTGTGATCTTAGACAAGACACTTGATCTCTCTGAGCCTCAGTTTCCTCAACTGAAAACAGCTGCAAAGATTGCCTCCCTGTCCAAGAAGAGTTTAAGGATTTAAAAAGACAGTGTATAATGATGAAAAATCTCAAAGAGAAATTAAGGAAACACTCCCATTTACCATTGCAACAAAAAGAATAAAATACCTAGGAATAGACCTACCTAAGGAGGCAAAAGACCTGCATGCAGAAAACTATGACACTGATGAAAGAAATTAAAGACGATACAAACAGATGGAGAGGTATACCGTGTTCTTGGATTGGAAGAATCAACATTGTGAAAATGACTCTACTACCCAAAGCAATCTACAGATTCAATGCAATCCCTATCAAACTACCAATGGCATTTTTCACAGAACTAGAACAAAAAATTTCACAATTTGTATGGAAACACAAAAGACCCCGAATAGCCAAAGCAATCTTGAGAAAGAAAAACGGAGCTGGAGGAGTCAGGCTCCCTGACTTCAGACTATACTACAAAGCTACAGTAATCAAGACAGTATGGTACTGGCACAAAAACAGAAAGATAGATCAATGGAACAGGATAGAAAGCCCAGAGATAAACCCATGCACATATGGTCACCTTATCTTTGGTAAAGGAGGCAGGAACGTACAGTGGAAAAAGGACACCCTCTTCAATAAGTGGTGCTGGGAAAACTGGACAGGTACATGTAAAAGTATGAGATTAGATCAGTCCCTAACACCATACACAAAAATAAGCTCAAAATGGATTAAAGACCTAAATGTAAGGCCAGAAGCTATCAAACTCTTAGAGGAAAATATAGGCAGGACACTCTATGACATAAATCACAGCAAGATCCTTTTTGACCCACCTCCTAGAGAAATGGAAATAAAAACAAAAATAAACAAATGGGACCTAATGAATCTTAAAATCTTCTGCACAGCAAAGGAAACCATAAACAAGATGAAAAGACAACCCTCAGAATGGGAGAAAATATTTGCAAATGAAGCAACTGACAAAGGATTAATCTCCAAAATATACAAACAGCTCACGCAGCTCAATATTAAGAAAATAAACAACCCAATCCAAAGATGGGCAGAAGGCCTAAACAGACATTTCTCCAAAGAAGATATATAGATTGCCAACAAACACATGAAAGAATGCTAAACATCACTAATCAGTAGAGAAATGCAAATCAAAACTACAATGAGGTATCACCTCACACTGGTCAGAATGGCCATCATCAAAATCTACAAACAATAAATGCTGGAGAGGGTGTGGAGAAAAGGGAACCCTCTTGCACTGTTGGTGGGAATGTAAATTGATACAGCCACTATGGAGAACAGTATGGAGGTTCCTTAAAAAACTAAAAATAGAACTACCATACAACCCAGCAATCCCACTACTGGGCATATACCCTGAGAAAACCATAATTCAAAAAGGGTCATGTACCACAATGTTCACTGCAGCTCTATTTACAACAGCCAGGACATGGAAGCAATTTAAGTGTCCATCAACAGATGGATAAAGAAGATGTGGCACATATATACAATGGAATATTACTCAGCCATAAAAAGAAACAAAACTGAGTTATTTGTAGTGAGGTGGATGGATCTAGAGTCTGTCATACAGAGTGAAATAAGTCAGAAAGAGAAAAACAAATACCATATGCTAACACATATATGTGGAATCTAAAAAAAAAAAAAAGGTTCTGAAGAACCTAGGGGCAGGGCAGGAATAAAGACGCTGACGTAGAGAATGCACTTGAGGACACGGGGAAGGGGAAGGGTAAGCTGGGACGAAGTGAGACAGTGGCATGGAAATATATACACTACCAAACATAAAATAGATAGCTAGTGGGAAGCAGCTGCATAGCACAGGGAGGTCAGCTCGGTGCTTTGCGACCACCTAGAGGGGTGGGATAAGGAGGGTGGGAGGAAGACGCAAGAGGGAGGGGGTATGGGGATATATGTATGTATATAGCTGATTCACTTTGTTATACAGCAGAAACTAACACAACACTGTAAAGCAATTATACTCCAATAAAGATGTTAAAAAAGAAAAAGACAGCGTAGGTGGGCGAGTTCGGCCCACAGGAAGACAGCCCCTGCCTCTCAGCCAGGGCCCTTTCCGCAGGCTGTTAAGAGAAGCACAGCAGGTGCTGGGAAACAGTGGGAAAGCAACTGCCATCCCCCTGTTCCAGGTCATGGAAGAAACTTTTCCCCAGCCGGGCAGAGAGCCAGAAAAATTTTAATAAACATCTCTATCAGGGTGGGGCCTTCTCTGGAACTTGGGAGCCTGGACAGGAAAGTGGCCACCCTGGCTGGAGAGGGAGTAGCCAAGGAGCCACTGGCCCAAGGGCATCCTGGAAGCACCCACGTGAGCTGCCTCCTGTAGGGGAAATCCGGCCTGGGACCCATGGGAGGCCAGCAGAGACAGGGCCACCAAGCCTCCCTATCAGCAGGACATCCAAGTAATCACATCTCTCTGGAAGTCACTCAGCAGCAAAGGACCAACTCTGTCACAGACCCTGCATCCAGGGAGTTGTTGGATTCCCTGATGAAATGAATTCAATGCCTACTCAGCCAAAAGTTTATCGGGTTCTCAGAAAGTGCTCTGCTTTGGAAACACGGGAGCTTCCAGTGCAGGGAACTGCCAACCAGCTGTTTGACCTTGGACAGGTGACCTCACCTTTCTGAGCCTCTGTTTTCTTATCTTTAACCTTCACAGGGCTGTGGCGAGGATCCAGCCAGAGAGATGGGGGTAGTGCTGTGGTTAGAGCTGCAATCCCAGCTCCTCCACTCACCTCCTGGGTGACCTGGAGAAAGTTACTTCGCTTTCAGTGTCTCGGTGCTCTCATCTGTCCAGGGGGAAGATGACATGCCTTCCTCCCAGGGCTTCGTGAGACTTAACCACGTGAATGCACGTAGCATGCTTAGATCAGGACTCAGCACGCAGCAACAGCATTTAGCATAATAAGTATAACTAAGAATCCCTCATTCACCAAATAGTTGAGGCCCTGCTGGGTTCACTAGGGATGGAGAGATAAACTAAAGTGACAGAGTCCTGCTCCCGTGAGGCTTACAGTCCAGTAAGGGAGAGAGACATTAAGTAAATGTCACGTTGGTAAATGTAAAATCACAAGCCAAGACAACTCCTGGGAGGCACAAACATAGACCTACCAAAGAGGTAACAAACAAAAGAACTCGCCCAGCTAGAGGGCCAAGGATGGCTTCCCAGAGAAAGCAGCACTTAAGCTAATAGCTGAAGGATGAAGAGGAACCAAGCAGGCAAAGGCAGGGGTGAGCAGGAAGGCTGGAAGAGCATCTAGGCAGAGGGAACAGCATGTGCGAAGGCCATGCAGTGGGAGAGGATGTGGTGGACGAGAGGAACTGAGATGGGTTCAGAGAGGAGAGCGGTTGTGGAGCTGGAGAGGCTGCAGGGGCACAAGGAGGACTGGGTTCCAACCTGAGAGCAACAGAGAAGCCATGACAGGGTTTGAAGCTGAAAAGGACAAAGCATAGCAAGACCAGTTAGAAGTGGTCTTGTGAAGTTTATGAGCGATGATGGTGCCCTGGACCAAGGTGGAAAGGCAGATACGGCAAAGCAGGCAGACAGGAAGCCACGTCAAGGATGATGCTTCGGGTTGGGCCTGGGTGGGTAGCGATTCCCACGCTCTGAGACAGAGAGCCCAGGAAGAGGACCAAGTGCTGAGGGGGGAGAGGAGAGGTAGGGCACAGGGAGAGGAGTACGGTTAGTGTGAGATCTCACACCTCTGAGACCTCCAAATGCACGTGGACGGACCCTCGGGACACCTCTGAGACCTCCAAATGCACGTGGACGGACCGTCGGGACACCTCTGAGACCTCCAAATGCACGTGGACGGACCCTCGGGACACCTCTGAGACCTCCAAATGCACGTGGACGGACCGTCGGGACACCTCTGAGACCTCCAAATGCACGTGGACGGACCCTCGGGACACCTCTGAGACCTCCAAATGCACGTGGACGGACCCTCGGGACAACTCTGAGACCTCCAAATGCACGTGGACGGACCCAGTGGCTGTGCCGGTCTGGAGCTCTCAGAGAGATCCAGGCTGGAAATGTGAGTAGGAATATAGATGACTGAGGCTGTGATTCTGAATGAGCTCCACCCATGAAGGGAACGTCGAGGAAAGAGCGTGGGACAAAGCCTGGGCAAGCGCCAGCACCCAGTGGCTTATGGAAGAG